TACTAACATTTTGTCCCTCTTCCAGGTCTTGGGTTAGTCGAAGCCGACTACGGCATCAAGCTCTCAAACATGCACATCCAAGAGCCTCATCCCGGTCTTTCGAACGCCTACCGCAAGCTAGGCAAGGTCCTCCAGACCGTCGGTGATCTACACGCCGCCCAGGCGACCGCCGAGGCCACCACCATCGGCGATCCCTTCCAGTACCACTCCAGCGACGCCTTTATCGTCAAGGAAACTCTCACCAACCGGCAGATTCTCATGCGCGAGCTGCTCCAAGCCCAAGAGCTCACCCGTAGCAAGCTCCACGCCGCCGACCGACTCAAGTCCTCTTCCAACGTACGCCGCGAGCGCGTCGACGAGGCCATCGCCGCCCTTCGCGACGCCCAGGAGGCCGAATCGACCCTCCAACACAAGACCACCCGCGTCACCCAGAACCTGGTGCACGAGCGCCGCAAGTGGTTCGCCCGCACCGCCGCCGACATGCGCCTGTCCATTCGCGAGTACGTGCTCCGCCAGATCGAGGCCGAGCGCCGCACCCTGGCCCTGCTCGAGAGCGTCCGGCCCGACATCCGCGCCATCGACTCCAGCGGCGGCCTGTCCCGCCTCGGCCGCGAGTCGCACCCCACCGTCCGGCGCGCCAGCCTGGCGGCCAGTCAGGGCCCCAAGGGCGACGCGTGGAGCGGCGTCCCGCGCGCGAGACTCGGCGAGGCCGGCTCGGTCAGCGGCGCTAGGAGCATATCCGGTAGCTTCATGGCCGGTAGCGTGCTGGGCGTTGGTGCCGGCGGCGGCGTGGAAGGGGAGGAAGCTGGCGGCGAGGACGCCGAGAGACCAGGCAGCGGCGGCGCGAGGGGTGCCGTGGGCGGCTTGGTGGGTCTGCCGGAGGAGGACGATGAGGATAGAGTGGATGCCAGGAACGCGGCCAGTCGGTTGGCCACGAGTACATTTTGAATCGCAACAGTCACCCCGGCGCGGACTGCTAGACTCAGTAGTAGTGGTAGGGACGCTTCGGGGGCACTGCTGGGATATCAACAAGAGAACAATGCTAGGAATCGGAGCGGGAGTAGTAGTGCAGGTGGGAGCTTGAAGGGCGGGAAAGCTGCTGCGGTAGTCGGCGGAGGGGACGAGAATGGGCGGGCGAGGAGGAAGAGGACTGGGTCAGTGGGTTATCAGAGATTATTACTGGGGTCGGGAAGAGGATGAGGATGAGGATGAGGATAACTACGATGGTGAAGGTTATCAGTATTTTCTAATGCAATGCGGGTGTAAATTATATTGATGTTGGGCGATGGGCAAGTTTTTTTCAAGGGAAGAAGATGGAGACGGGGGGAGTATTTTACAGTTAGGACATGTAGTGAATGATGATGACGATGATGGTGATGACGGCATGAGCGATCGTAGATGTGAAGTTGAAGTGAAGTGAGGTACATGACTATAACGTCGTTGGGGGTGAGGAGAATATTTACGTGCAAGACATAAACCAGACGGCATGACAGTTCGGGTTCATATACTGTCCTATTAGACTATAATCTCTGACGGTCTACCTTCCAACAACAAGTATCATCATTTCTATTTCATTTCTCTCATGTTGCGTCCTTCCGTCGCATGCATCTTCATGTTTGTAGACCCCCTTTCGAAAGCCTTGTCGTTTCTCCATCAACTAGCTAGCTGCCCTACCTTCCAGCATCTACTCCTCTTCCTTGGTCTTTGTTTTCTCGTTCTCGTCTCATTTACATCCTTCCATCTTCTAGTGTAAGAAAAATACTTGCCAGGACAACAATCAAAGGTACTCACTCATGACAGCTGATTAGCTTATGGTATGGTTATGTTTCCATTATCCGAGTCTTTCAACGAAGTGCTAATAGCTGCTTTGATCTGAGCCGAGCCGAGCCTTACCAGCCTCTTTCCCTAGTACATAGCTCCTGCTCATCTATTGTATTTGTTTTGTTGACTCATCGTCGTCGTCATGCATCATCATAATAATACCCCATCCGGCAACATCTACCTAAAGTATTATCCGCACCAGGTCCAGGTCGAAAATGAATCGAAATGGGTCAAACTCGCTCCCTCCTGCTTGCAAGTTCATCCCAGCTAGACTACCATAGTGATTACGCCCACGACTTTGTCTCAAGACATCGTAAGGCAGGTCATGATGTACTGTAGCTGTCAAATCTCCGGCACAAGCCATCCGTGTCAGATTCCCTGGTTACTACAATCAAACGTAGCAACCGAACGGCAAATCCCAGTGGCGGATGGACTACTTGATAAAGTTCAAAGTCTTCGTATTCAACAGCAGCATTCCTAGCGCGAAAACCCCTAGTGATCGAACCTAGCCAAATCACCAGCAGGACCTGAACCACCAGCACCAGAAGCAGAGACCTCGCCAACCAAGCCGGCGTGCTCTCTCATCATGCTGCTGCCGCCGCCGCCCGGGTATTGGTGGTGGGGATTAAACCGTTCTCCGCCGCCGTGTGAAGCCTGTTCGCGCCGCTTGCTATTCTTGGCCGTCTCGACCACGTGGAACTTCTTGCCCACTTCCTTCATGTCCTTGACGCTGCTCATCAGATCGGCAATCAGCTCGACGAGCTTGACGTCGTTGGTTTCCTTGAGCAGCTCCTTTTCTAACGCGCCGAGATCCGTGTCCCTCTCTCCTTGTCCTTGTCCTTGCCCTGAAGTCGAGTTGGACATGACTAGCTGGACGTTGGTCACCAGCGCTTGGATCTGGCGAAGAATCTTGTTCGAGGGAACCGTGTACTGGGGCTGGACTGTACCCTCTGTTTGCTGCTGCTGCTGCTGCTGTTGGGAGGAGGCGTCTCCGCTGGAAAGGTAATCGGGGGGTAGGCGTTGGAGGTAGGAGATGACGGTGTCGAGTCGCTTCTTCATCATTTGCACGGCGTTGTACTTGGCCTGGAGAGCCGACATGTAATCTAGTTCGGCCTTGGTGAGGTTGGCGTCTCTGTTGTTATTTGTTGCGGTTCCTTTGGCGGCGCTACTCGTTGTGGGTGCTTCTGCCGCAGCATCATCTGAGCTCACGGCGCGTCGTTTGCTGCCCTTGTTTGTGTCGACAACTTTCTTCATGAGAGGCTTGTCGGAGCCCTCGTCCTCGGCGGCTGTTGTATTGGTTGCGCTAGTGGTAACGTTGGCACTGCCACCTTCCCGCACGAATTCCAGGGCGATCATCTCGGCTTCACCCGTTTCTGTGGTGTAGGGAAGTTCCCGGAACTTGATGGATCTTGAGGGCTCGGCTGTGACATCCTTCATCTCTCTATCTTCGCCTTCTACTTCTGCAGTGCTGGCCTCGGTGCCATCGACAATCTCCAGGTTGCTCTCGTATATCGTCAAAGGTAGGGGATCGCCGGCCACGGGGTTCAGGATTTCGTGGATGTGAAAGCCAAGAAGCACGGCGGACTCGTTCTGTGAGTAAAAGTAGCTGTGTATTGGGAGATGGGCGTCGGTAGGACCGCTCTTGGGCACTAGGGTGTACCATCCGACAAAGTCGAGAGCACGGTCTTTGTGGACGGCTTTCACTGTAGAGGGAGAATCTGTGTGTCAGTGGTACTGCCTTGGAGCTGTGCACAAGTGTCGTTATAGGAGGGCAACTGACTTTGGTCCAGGCGAGCCGTAAACCACTCCGAATCAACCTTGTAGTTCTGGCCAGTGTGTTCGGTCTTGACCGAGAAGCTGTGCTCGATGGTGATCTGGCGGCCATTTTGCTGGCCGATGAGGGCACCTACGATGGCGCCCTTGTAGCCGCGTAGGTAGCTGCGTGTGATGTAGTCGGAAATCTCCAGGATGGGCAGCGGGTGTAGAGCTACTTGTAGACTGCTGTCTGACTTTTGGGTCGACATCAACGGGTTGACCGTAGCGGCGGCCATGGTTTCGGTCTTTTGGTCGTGAACTCGTTGCGACCCCCGGTTGTGTTGTTTGTGGTAATAGGTGATAGTTGATGGTTGACGGCGGGGTAAATGAGAAAGAGAGAGATCGGCTAATTGTTAAATGGCTGTCGTCAACCTGTAGTGGAAGTTGTATAAGCGTCGGTGGAAGTCGCCGTTATTCTCGCTCGCTATCGGGATGTTCGTCAATGAGGTGTGTTCTTCAGAAGATGTTGTTTTAATGTAGAAACATCCCGGTAGAGGTGTAGGTCAGTTTCCAGTGTCATCGCTGTCGAGTCCCCGCCATGGATGAACCGAACCGTCTGAGCTGCGGGAGCCTGGGTCGTACAGTGTGTCAACCAACTTGAAGTACTACAGTGGGTATTTGTCGTCATTCAAAACACTGTGCTGGGCTGAAAGCTTGGGCCCGTGCACCCCTAGCTTTAGACCTCCATTGTTTACTATCTTTCCATGGCAACAACCTAAAGACTTCACTTGTAACAACGTCGAACATGGCTTCCTTAGAGGTAGTGAAGCTGAGAAAAGTCTCAAATAATTTCTGTTCCTGAAACACAGGTTCATCCCATGGATTTGTCAAGTTTCTCTTCAACACATGGCGCATCAAACAAATCGAGGCAAGCAAAGACAACTGGGAACTGGCGATCGGGTCGAATGGGATTCAAGTTCATTGAATATGCTTGAAATGTTTATTTCGTTTCTAATTCCTAACGCATAGCGGACAAAAAGCTGCCAATTAACAAGACAAGACATTAAACATTTCAAACATGCAAGTCTCCAAGCACTATCCTAACAAGGTAGGGAAGGATAACAAGCCAGAGAAGACTGCTTACAAAGAACCTACGATCTGCCTGCTCAAAAATAGAAGGATACAAGCAAAAAAGGCAACGATCGCATTGCGCCCAAAGAAACACCTCAACACCCAAACTTTCGCGCCGCAAGTACCTTGATACCTATCTCCTGGGGTAAATTCCCGAACCAGACAGCACAGAGTTTAAACATTACAATACTGTGTACGTACAGCGTACAGAGAACGCAAACACCATGTGTCTTTTTCTTGTTAGTAATAAGCAAGCACATCCCTCCACCCCCTCTCTCCTTTCAGACATCAAATCAATTCCTCTCTGGCGTCTCCACAGCCTCCTCCTTCTCTTCCTGCTTCTGTCCAGCAAAGATCACACTTGGCAATGAAGCAGGCGTAGACGGCGCCGGAGACTGCTGCAATTGCTCCGTCTTCTGAGGCGAAAAGGGAATGGCTGAGGTGGCAGTAAACACGGGCACGTCCTTTCTGTTCATAGCATGTCCGGGACTAGTTGGTGTCTGTGCTGGTACCGAGGCATGATGCTTGCCAGCAGGAGGCTGGTACTGTATGAAGTTTTCCAAGGGAGTGGAAGACTGTTGAAGAGGCCTCAAAGGCAGAGGGAATGAAGTACGACTAGGCATGGGCGTGGATGCAAGAGCGGGTATTTCGAAGTCTTCCATGTCGATGTCACCGTCCCCGTCTTGAAGGTGATGGTGCCCGAAAAGCTCCGGGTACTTGTCCGTGGCGTCCATGTCTTCGGAGGAGGAAAATGAGTTCCGGCCTTGTGAGTTGGGAGTGTAGAACTGCGTGGATGGCGCGGGAGAGGTGGTGTTGCTTTCGGTGGGAGATTGGACTGTGGCAACGGGTGTCTGCGTAGGCTGTTGTTGACGAAGTTTGTTTTCCTGTAGGTTGGATGTAACGACAGAAATCGCACCGGCGTTTTCGTTCGCAGCACGCTCCCGCTCGCGAGCCTCTTTCTGGGCTTGTGTGATAAGAGTAATCTTCACCTTCTTCATCCCGCCAGTCACTGTATCTACGCCGTCGCCATTGCTACCAGTTGATGGCTGATCGTTAAGGGAAGCCGAAGCTGGTGATACTAGGGATGCGTTGGAGCTCCTTGCTGATTCAATGGTTGAAGTTGAAATCTTCCTCTGTGTCCTCGGTGCTTGCAGAGCATCCTTATTCTTTGCTGGCCCCCGCGTTTTATTGACCACAAGAGGGTTCCCCTGCGGTCTCACACTCATTGAAGACTCGGGCCTGATGCTCATGGATGTTTCCGGTCTTCCGTCATCTTCCGCATTTGTGGCTGAGTATCTGTGGCTTGGAGGAGACGAGTCAAGGCTGTCTGGGACGATGGTCGAAGCAGCACTAAGGCGTCGACTACGTGTAGCACGAGCGCCTCCTCGGGGCACACCAGTCTTTCCTGCGGACACAGCGTTCACTCGGTCTTCGTCTGTGTCCTCCTCCTTGATAGGCACTGCTTGCTTGGCTTTACGCTCCCTTAAGGCCATCCTTGTAGAGGGCCGATCCGATGAGTTTGCAGTGCCAGCATCGGACGCCGAAGTATTTGCCTGGGCTAACTGGCGCTCCCGGCGAGCCTTGGTGGCCTCAGCATTAAGATCTGTGTGAGTACAGCTATCCGTTTGGCGGTCGCGCGGAATAAGAAGCTTGCTCAGTTCGCAAGCAGCAATAGCCCACGGAACCTCTGGAGCAGGGGGCATCGGTATTCTCGACGGCATTGGTGACATCGGCCTGTTGGCTGCCATGAGTGCGTGCTGATGGAGTCCGGACATACTTCTCCGTGGCGCTACAGACCGTGCCGTAGAGGCCTGTGTAGGTGAACAGTAGGTAGGAGTCGCAACGTTCCGAGGGGGCTTTGGTGGTTCGGGTGGGGGAGTCAACAGTGTGGTTTCCAGATGTTCAAGCGCGGCAGCAGACCACCACGAAGGGTTGTACTGATCATGAGCTTTGCCATTTCCAGTAGAACCAGCTCCAGCAAGGCCGCAAACGTGACTCATGATGCCAGAGCAAAGCGCCCGATCACTATATCCTCCCTCCAGTACGCTGATGATTCGGCCCTCTACAGCCGTGTCCACTTCTGCTGCAATACGTACTACATCTCGGGTCAATCGAGCATAGAACTCTGTGGGGACGTTGACTTCGTGTCTCTGCATTCCAGCGCCCTCCCATTCGCTGGCATCGAAACCAGCAGAAAGGAAGATGGCTGCCTTTGCGTTTTGGCCTGCTGCTCGCAAGCGCTCCGCCTCTGTGACAAGGTAGCTGCGCGCCTTCTCAAGCAAGACGGTGTACTTGGACTCGTAGAGTGCCCAGAAATCCTCTTCTGTCTCCCAGGGCTGTAGGTGCACATTCCACACATTCTGTCCATGAGCATTGTCGATGCATACACTCGCGTTCATAACTTTTTCGTCGTCGCCGGTCTCGCAAGGATACGAGTTGATATCGTGAAGACTAAAGTACCCAATCGAGGTCTTCTTCCACATCGCTGCGTTCTTTGCAGCCTTTACGCCTCTTGAGTTGTGCTGCCAAGCAATTTGCTGGGAGCCGTCGCCGTGGTGTAGGTCAAAGTCGATAATGGCGGCATGGGTCAAGCCATGGCTCAAAATTGCGTGCATAATGCCCACATGAACGTTGTTGACCCAACAAAAGCCCGAGGGATACGAGGCGGAGCAGTGATGGCCAGGCGGGCGAATAGCTACAAAAGCCCTTTTCGGACCCTCAGGCTTAAACACCGCATCGACGGCCTCACAGACACCGCCGAGAGCTCCTTCCATAGCATCTAGTGATTCTGCACAGAGATAGAGGTCACCTTCATGAAACTTTGGGGGCTCTTCCGCATTAGGTCCACGATCCATATCCGGGCGTTGAAGTTCTTTGCCATTCGTCGCCAGCTTCGCTTCAGCGGTATCGCACATGATCTTGAGTTCCTCCATCCATTTCGTGCCATGTACGTTGGTTACTGTCGGAGATGTGATGGCCAGTCGTCGAGTCGTTTTTTGTATGAGAAAAGGTACCGAAGGGAGGTTCCTGGGATGCTGATCCGGATGAATCGGGAACGAACCGTCTTGGTGTCGCTCGCCCAGACGTACATAGGCGGCCGACACTCCCAAGACGCTGGCCTTGATCCTCTCGGGTCGTTCGACGATGGTGCTCAAGCTTGCCTTGGATGTCCGGGGTCGAGAATAGCGATGTCCATAGCATGCATCGTTCAGAATAACAATGGTCTCGGCCGACAATTTTGGATCATGTCCGTGATGAATCTCAAGCTCGGCCTTGAAGTGGTCACTCGCGATGGATTGCGGGGTGGGCGGCACTTTGAACTCGGACGTATCAGGGGACATGTCGTTTAAAGGTGACTTCTTGGCGGCGGACGGTGTGAGGTTGACTGAACTGGATCGACGAAGTCCATGGCCATTGCTGTTGTGGGCGACCTGGATCGAGTTCATGGAGGCTTTGCGGCGAAGTGCAGGAGTTTGAGAGCGAGACGGTGGCCGGCCGTATGATACGTTCCGCATGGCGCTACCGGGGCGGGAGGGCGTCCCGTTTGGCGATCCAGCAGTCGAAGTAGCGAACTGAGGGCGAAGGGGACTGATTGCAGGTGGCGGGTGGTTGGCAGACCGAGGACTCTTCCTAGGCGACGGAGACTGTGAAGTGACGGAGGACGGGGACGCGAGAGAGATGGAGAGGTGATTCAAGGACTGAGTTAAGTCCCCTTCGGCATTGTTCTTATCCAGTTGCCCTTTGCTCGCCGTTCGTGACAGCCGTCTTTGTTGCAGATTTGACGCTGATGTTGGGGTTGTATGTACATCTGATCCAGCACCTGCTGGCACACCGGAAACTCTCCTGGGATTAGTGGTGGCGGAAGACCGGGAGGATGCCACGGACGTGGAGGATGATGGCCTGTTGTGGAACGCGGCGGAGGAGGACGAAGGCATTGTCACTGTGGTCACGGTACCGGCGTTTATCAGGAGGGGTCGGTTGGTGGAGGAAGGAGTTCGGATGAAAGCTGCTTCCTGCGATGCACAAGGACGGCCCTGCCTCAAGTAAGGAACCTGAAGTCCGGATACTGTGCCTCCGTCGTGAGAATGGGATCAATCAACAACCGACACAAAGGGGTAAACGGAACTAAAGAGTTGTGAACTGGGGGTCACAGTGATGGAACGCCAAGGCAGAACTCAGTAAACAAAAACAGGAGGGTTCCAACGAGAGAAAGGGGTTTATCGATTCGTGGCTATCGCAGAATGATGTTGAGAATGGCAGAAAAAAAAAGAAAAGGAGATAAAGAGAGATACAAGACAGCAATCCAATTCGATGACAATCCGCAGCAAAGACGGCTCAGAGACACGCTCATCTCAGATCATTTGTCCCGGAAGAGATGGAGGGAGTCATCGGGACGCCGGGGACCTTTCGTGGTCCAGAGCTTCGGGTTCTTGAGAGATGAACTGGGGCGAGCGTAATCTCCCATCTCATCTCGGCCTTTGGGGTCCTGGTTCCCTGAGTGATGAGCCTCGCTCGCCTCGCTTCTCCTTGTTGGTCTGGGCGTCGGGCAAGTTGGGGGAGTAGTGTAAGTGGCGCGTCACGCGCGTTGGACGTCACGGTCGGAGCTGAAGGGGTCAATTCCCTTTAAGCGGGATGATAAAGTGCTTGCAGCCTCAAGCAGCTCCGCTCCGTCCTGAGCCTAGAGATGAGAGATAGCTCCCGCTCTCTTGCTCTAACAGCACGTGATGAGTAGATAAGATAAGAGCAGTAAACTCACTCCGTCACTGTTGATGATGCCACTCCCGCCCTCCCAGAGTGGACTGCAACTCACTGTGCCGGGCCCCTGCTTGGCGCTTTTGCACAATTCAGTTCCACATGCCGCTTGCCGCGCGCTTGTTGTTCAAGTGTGGATGCCCTCATGCTTTCTTTTGAACTTGGTGCAACACCAGACCTCATTCCTTCCATGATATTTGTCTCTCTCTTGGGTCAGACAAGATGGCCCATCCGTTAGCAGTTTGTTTCCTCACATGGTCTGTCCCTTCGCAATCCATTCCGAAACGGGCCGGGCCGTTCAACAAAAGACAGCACCATCATCCGAAAGCTTGAGCAGTCAACAGCACAATGGAGCCACGGCAGCATGCAGAATCCATTCATCCTTGTTTGCCGTCACTTGGCCTGCATTTGCGGACTGACGATGGTAGATGACAGCCAGAATGCCTTCAGCCTCGTCCAGATAACTCAAGCGAGCACACTTAGCTGTACATTGGTTGTGGATTGTGGATTATTGTAAAGATATCAGAGCTCGGCTACTTTAGTGGTGTTCTTCGTTGTACAGTTGGCTTTTTGTCCCCTGTTTAGGCCAAGTCGGCCGGTCATCCGAATACTCAACAGCCAACACGAGTGTGACGGTCTAGGTGATTCAGCCCCAGTTCCGTCCGCTGTGGTGCATACGAGCTGCCACTTGGGCAACATTGCATGACAGCCAAACAACATGTCAGCCAGGGCCTTCTTCCCCTTTTAGAGACCTTTGCGAGCTCACAACTGAAGTGTCTCATACACTTTTACAATTGAAACCACCAACAAAAGGCGGACCATGTGTGTGATAGTGCTTGAGTGATGGCAAGAGTTGTCTTCATTTACGCAGTCACAACTCTCTACAGAAATGTGTCTCAGAGCTGGTTATTTTCTTTTTTCTTCCCCATGGGAGCATGGATCAGCTTTCTCTTTACACTAGTCAACCCCAAGGGAACAAAAAAGTCTCACTTTATCGACCCAGCCTCAGGTCTTATTTGTTCTCGATCCCTGCCTAACGGCTTCACACTCCCGCATTAGCTTAGCGCCACATCAATAGTCTAGCCATCTCTGGCCGATCCCAGGGTCCTGGATCCCGACTTAGCATGGCTCAGTCGGCATGTTGGTCTGATACCTCAAAGTGATTCAGCCCTGTCGTTACATTCAGCGTACGCAGTAAGCGCTAGAGGAATGATATCCAAAGTTATATCACCGCCATGGCCCCGTCGTCTTTCTTCTCTGTTGTGTCTTTGCGGTTCCTGTCGTGTTATCCCAGAATCTTCTTTCCGTGGTGACACTACCTCAAGCCAAAAGAAACGATCCTGAACAATGGCTCCCAAGAAGTACCTTTCGCCTCTCATCCTGGCCGGTAGTGCTATGGCCACGGCCTTCCAGTTCCACGGCCATCTCAACGCCCTTGCGGCCAACAACGCGATCAACGCGGCCGCGACAACGGATGCCGGATACCAAGCCTGTACCTCCGTCAGCTCCGTGGTACTGTCCTGTTCCGCTGTCGGATCCCTCGCCGACAACATCCCCGAGGCGTCCCAGGCGGCATGTGTCTGCTGCCAGGGTCAGTCAGAACTGGACCCGCAGTACTCGAGCTGCGCCGCTTACATCAACACTGCGCTCCAAAACCCATCCTTGGGTTCGGGTATGAAATCTTTCTCTCCTTGTTCTCACAAACTAGATAACCTATACTAACAACTTGTGCTCAGTGTACGGCGCCGTCTACACCTTCTGCGCCGAATACTCGTGCGGAGCCGCAGCCGCACCATCAACAACAACAACAACGCAGCCGCCCACCACCGTCGCCTTCATCACCACCAGCCGTGCCACCATCACATCCGCGGCCTCGGTGCCCGCAGCTTGCGCTTCCGTGGTCTCCATCGCCAGTCGCTGCGCTAACGGCAACGGCGAGGACGAGATCCTCTCTTGTCTATGCCACGACACGTCAGGCAAGACCAACACTCAAGTGGAGGAGTGGGCTAGCAGCTGTCTTCCCTGGGCACAGTCGAACTCCCTCCAGCAAGATGTTACTGGTACGTAACCCATCTAACCCTCCCATTCATGTTATAAACCATCCACGCCCTAGGGGTTGCAATTGACTAACAAACTTTCTTTCTCTCATGGTGTAGTGATCCAAGCCCTCGAATCCATCTGCACCGCTGGAGCCGGCGCCGTCTCCTCCCTCTCTGCCCAAGCCTCCACGAGCACTAGCGACGACGATGGCGGCTTTACCGTGACTACTAGCCGCCCTGCCTTTGGGCTGCCTACCGCCGGCGGCACTGCTGCCAGCGATCCAGTTGCGTCGACTGCCACGCAGACGAGGATCGTGGAGACGGAGGCGCCGGCTGTCACGTCGAGCACGTCGAGTGCGGCGGGAGTTATGGTTCAGCAGCCGCTGGGAGGAGTGGCTGCCTGGGTTGTTAATGGGTTGGTTGCGGTTGCTGGGTGGTTTGTTGTGATTTGAGAAGGGGGTCGTTGGTTTGGTTGGGTGAGTGGTTAACGAGGTTCAAGATTCGGCCAGAAAAAGAGCGCCATGTGAATAATGATAATGAGGTTTTGGAATGTTTGGATGGAGTTGGGTGGCCATATGCTGGTTGGAATGAATGACGTTTTTGATGGACTTCTTTTCACAGAGCCCGGCGTTGAAGTCAGGTTGAATAATAAAGATAATTCAACTTGATATTGATTTGAAGAACCAGAATATGTTACATGGAAACGGGACTTATGCGGTGTGTGACTACTTACTTTCCGCAATGGAACTCGAAGCATATTCTGGTCTGCTTTTGGCAATAAACAGTCAAGACAAAAAAAAAATCTTCTTCGAAAATAGGTGCCAACGAAAGAGGAAAATGCAAAAAAACGCGCCCACACTATTCTCAGTCCCAGCCAAAGATATCAACAAAAGGCAAAAAGCTCAGTCGCCCAGGAGACTTGGGGGGACGAACCACCACGCTCCAGCTGACGACCTACGAAAACTGTACCTCGGGTACCGCGCACACCGGCAATGTTTTCATAAATGAAACCGCTCGGCCATTTGGCTAATTGAGATCGCTCTGGAATTAGGGTCTGATGCCGGGCCTTAGATGGTGCGGGTGAGGTGGTTACCTAGGTAGTAGAGGGACAGAGCCAAGGGACGGGATACGATGGAATGGGATGAGATGAAAGGCGGATTTGTATGTAGGTACCGTACCATAAGGGCTGTATGGGTGATGGTCCGAGGAAGATTAAGTTAAAGAAGATCAACACGACAACGAACACTCCTTTTCCCGATGAATGTGATGTATCCGCAGGCTTTGCGGCCCCATGAGACTAGCAGTTAGATCATAATCGATTCCAGTGACCCTCATATATGAAGTCGGATGTTAGTCCTTTCTTAGGTTGGCACCTCTCATTTGGTGGTGACCTGTGCAGTTTAGAGTGTCCGTCAAGAACTTGTATGTGATCAACCATTGAAATGCATTGTGATCATTGACCAGACGCCCAAAATGAGGAAAAGAGAAATCCTGAAACACCGCTTTTGCTCATTACCCATAGTCATATACCATTCATAACGCATTACTCCCCCCTTTTCTTCTTCTCACTCGCAAATCCCAAGTTCATACACAAGCCACAAACGACGACGTATGACTCTGCCACGGGGCATGATGGCTAGGATGATGGTGATGAACCTTAGTCTTTGGTATCAAAGCCAGGTCATCACCGCCGCGCCCACCTGATGCATGATTCAAGCAGCAATCAAGACGTGGTTGCTGGGCCCTATGATCGTTGCTCCCCCCTCCACTGCCACTGTCCTCAAACCGAGTAATAACCCCCACCCCCACCTCATGGGAGAATGAAGCGCTTACGTTCTCCATCAACCGCGTAATTTCTTCCTTGCTTTCGGTGGGGTCGATAAATTCGATTTGATCCTCGTCGTCGTCCCCGTCGTCCACTCCTTCTATTACCCTATCGTCACTCGTGGAGATGGTCATCGTTGCCGCGGCGGTGGTGATGGTCGATGATGCGGTAGTGGTGGTATTATCCAAAATCAAAAACGCCCTCTCCAACCTCGGAAAGCTCCTGATCAGACAAAACTTGCTATACGTCTCCCACGGCCGCCTGATCTCCGGTCGGACATGATCGATGGCCAGATTCTTCACCAGCTCCGTGGTGTTGAGGACGTACCGATCAAAATCGCGTGCCGTCTCGCTGTAGCCCATGGACATGATCCTCCTAGTCCTTTCCTTTTCTTCCTCGCCGCGTGCTGCTTTCCTTTTTTGGTGATGATGATGGAAGTCCCCTTCCTCTTCGTAGTACCGCGGTATGTAGAGGATGTCTAGATCCGGCGCAAAGTAGATGGATCCGGACGGGTGGGTGCGTGTGCCAAAGGCTTTGGCGTAGATGCGCGAGAGCGCTTCGTGGCGGGATTCTCGGCAGACGGAGAGGATGACGGGCGGCTTGGAGGGGGTAAAACACCGGTCTTGGGAGGGGCAGTAGTGAATTTCGAGGATGCGAGGGTGGCAGGAGGCTTGCCAGATGGCGAGACGGAGCTCAGTAGGGAGGAGAGGGAAGAGGGTAAAGGTCTTTGGGGCGGTGGAAGTGGTGGGAGTGATTTCGTCCATGGCGATTTTTGTGACTCAGGTTGGATATGAGGTTTAGTGTATTTGTCTGTTACAAGACTTGTTTTATTGCATCAGTGAGGAGTGTGGTATGTTGAAGCTTGTGGAAGTGATGAGTATTAGAGGATAGAGAGACGAGAATTCGAAGATAGAAAGAAGAAAGAGGGAAGACGGGAGGTTATAATAAGAGTACAATAGAACCGCGTCAACCCAAGGAAGATATGACGAGCACGGGACTCGAAACCCCGACTTAACAACACACCATCGAAACAAAACCGTTTGGGTTCTAGAATAAGGTTTAGTGGGGATTGAAGCCGGTGCATTCTCGCCAATACCCTTTAGTGCTTGGAGTCAATGGATATCGCCAGGGTTGGGCATGAAGGCAGCCTTGGCCAGAGTGATGAAGGAGCGAGCATTGAGACGGGCAGTCCGAGCCTAGACAACAATGGGCGTTTGACTATTATAGACCGTTTTCAATTGTCATGTTGTTTGGTATGCCACGGCCAATTCGCACTTGAACGAGCTGAGGCCCTGCGCTGTGACGGTCTGGGAGTCTGGACGGCCCAACAATGGAATGCCCGGACCGTCGTCATTGGCACAATAACTTCCTTTGATGACCCGAAGTTCCATGTGTAAAAGAGGAACAGAAACGGTAACGCGCCGCACGGATCAGCGATAAAAACACATCATCGCCGCCCATTGCTGGTCAACTGGCCAACCCAGACTTTCAGGGAAGATCTCCCGACTTTGGGCATGATGATCTTTGTCTTTATCCAGACGTTGGCTGGTATAAAATGACAATATAGAACAAGGTACTTACCTCGGTCCATTGGGGTGAAGATATCCTGGGCTGCCGTGCGTCCCCCGTCCCTACAATGCAACCGTGACAGAGGAAAAGACAGTTCCATTGCCGTGGATAGGGGAATTGCATCTTTGCGTCGAGTCTAGCGCACACACGGCAATGTGAGATGAATCGCTTTGTGCGTTGGAAAAAAATCAGCAAAAAGTCGGAATGTGCTTGGTCCAAAGTCGTATGACAGTTGAAAATGCCAAGAAACGGAAGTTGTCTGATCTCGTAAATACACTTAAAAATATCAACCCCTGAAAATGCCTCCCTCCTAAAGTGCAAGCAAAGTGCAATGACTTTACCTCGGATTTGCATATACAGGGGCTTGATTTTGGTGGGGAGAAGAACACTTATACCCAGTTACCGGGGCTCCAAAGCTAACTCCTCTTTTAGGTTACATACCCTACACTACATGTACATACATGGGAGATGCTCCGTGTAGTTTTGCACCGAATACCCAAATGCAAACACTACAAAGTGAATAATTGACGACCCCCATTGTTTGCACTTTCACGAGATAGGTAATATGATAATGGATAGAGGTAGGAAACGTTCTGATGCCTACGTCGCAAAATCGGAAGGTGGAGCACTCTCCTCTAGCGCAGAATCAGCGCTGGGATCGGGTAGAGCGGGCAGGCCTGGACCCTGAACGGAGCTGAAGTCCAGTGTGTCTTGGAGATGCCCCGCCAACCCGCCAGGCCCGCCAGGCCCGCCAAGGGAAGCGCATGCTTCAACATCGACGGGTCGACTTGTCAAGTGTGGGGTCGAGCTGAGGGTCCATGTTTTTTCTCCAATTGATGTGCATGCGTGGTGCAAGCCCCAAACAGTTCTCTGCATTCACTACCTGAGTTGCCTGCCTTTTCTTTTACTCCTCCTCGCTGCGGAGAATGTCGATTGTCCAAAGAATGGCTTCAAACAAGGCTTCTTCGGCTGCGCTCACCTTTGAGCTGGTCGCCAAATGCTCCGTAAGTGGAAGATCGTCTGTTCTTCTGGAATCCGAAGGCTGGGAATCAGGTCTCCATACAGCAACTGGATATCAAGTTCCGTCCGTATAAGTGGGATCAGGATTCGGTTCCGCACCCATCGCAAAGCTGTCGCAATCGCCAAACGAACCGCAATGGATGTCCGTCACTAACGTTAACACACGCGTTGAACCTAGACAACAAGGGCTCGCGCTTCTATCCTGACTCTTCCCCATGGACCCGTCAACCTCCCCATCTTCATGCCTGTGGCTACTCAGGCTTCCCTCAAGGGCATCACCCCGGAACAGCTTGAGGGTACGGGATGCCGCCTTTGCCTCAACAACACTTACCATCTAGGACTGAAACCTGGCCAAGAGGTCCTCGATGCCGTTGGCGGCGCTCACAAACTTCAGGGCTGGAAGCATAACCTGTTGACGGATAGTGGAGGGTATGCGCCCTTGTCATAACCAATGCATACGAATGCCGGCGCATCGCTGACCCGGCTTCTCCTCCAGCTTCCAAATGGTATCTCTCCTCAAGCTCGCCAAGGTTACCGAAGAAGGAGTTCGCTTCCTCTCTCCCCACGATGGATCCCCCATGCTCCTCACCCCCGAACACTCAATGAGCCTTCAAAACTCGATTGGATCCGACATCATGATGCAGCTTGATGACGTCTTGGTGACCACTCACCCGGACAAGGCCCGTATGCGCGAGGCCATGGAGCGCAGTGTACGCTGGCTGGATCGCTGCATAAAGGCCCACAAGAATCCCGACCGCCAGAATCTGTTTTGCATTATTCAGGGTGGTTTGGACCTAGAGATGCGCAGGGAATGCTGCCGCGAGATGGTGGCTCGCGACACCCCAGGCATCGCCATCGGAGGTCTCAGTGGTGGTGAGGCCAAGGATGATTTCTGCAACGTTGTGGCTACATGCACAGAGCTTCTTCCCGACTTGAAGCCTCGCTATGTTATGGGTATTGGCTACCCCGAAGACCTGGTCGTCAGCGTTGCTTTGGGAGCCGATATGTTCGATTGCGTCTGGCCCACACGTACGGCGCGGTTTGGCAATGCCATCACGAAGCACGGTGTGCTCAACATGAAGAAGGAACAATATGCCAAGGACTTTGGCCCGATCGAGGACGGTTGTGGGTGCCCATGCTGCAGGCCTATCGATCAAGAGGGAGCCATTGGCGTCACAAGGGCGTTTGTACACCACAATTCGGCCAAGGAGACGGTGGCAGCACATCTGCTGACCATACACAACGTGTGGTATCAGCTGCATCTCATGGGAGGTGCCAGGGACGCCATCATTGCCGACAAGTTCCCGGCCTTTGTTAAGGAGTTCTTCAACAACCTGTACCCAGATAGAAAGAGCTACCCGTCGTGGGCTGTAAACGCTCTGAAGAACGTAGGTATTGACTTGTTTGAAAGCTGAGGCCGCTTGGAGCTTGGTTCAAACTCTCCACACTTTCCTTCTTGTTGCTTGCCCGTATAATGAGTGATTCACTACAAGCAAAAGTGCATGTGTAGCTACATACCTGCTGGCTGAGCTTACAAGTACTGTTGTACGGAAATGCAATTGAAGATTCAGGGTTAGGGCTATAGATGGTGATTGCTTGGCCTCTATCCTACGGCCCCGCTCGTACCGGCCCAGCAACCCGGCCCGCCTGGCCAATGCGCCAATATGCGTATGCGACAGCAACAGAAACGTCCGAGCTTTGAATTTTCGCGGACTTTAAGTCCTCCATCACGGCGATCAACGTCCCCACGAGCCGCGCCGAACCTCGACGCCCGTCAACCGAAGCCACCGGCACCTCGACGGCACCTCGAATACACGATGGCTTCCTCCCGGGGTGTGTCGCCCGGAGGCGCGCTCCTCCGTACCTCGCGCATGTTTTCGCTGCCTCCAGTGATCCCCCCTCCGCCCGGCAACAAGCTTCAGATGATTAGCGAGAGAGCCTCGGCCACCGAAGCATACCCGACTCACCAGGTCCTTACCACCTTTGAATCCTCCCGCTCTCGTGGAGACTGGGGTCTGAAGCGCCCGCTCCCCCTCAAGTCAACAACCGGCACCACGTATCCCATGGTCAAGGTCAAGGAGATGGACTCGCTCGAACAGATTACCGACTTCACCTCCGGCACCCAACACGGCCTCACGCTCAAGAAGTTCCAAGCCCTGAACATCCCGATCAGCACACCGTCCGAAATCAGTGATCCCTCCCGACTTTTCCGCCCCGTCCAGCGGTCCGTCTTCGAGGCCGACACCGATGTGACTGCCTTCAGCCCCGACGAGCAAATCCAAGAAGCTGAAAAGAGGTGGAAGTTCAGCGGTCCCTGGTTGGCCGGCATGACTCCCGGCGAGTTCAAGGAGTACCTCGCCAAGACCGTCAGACCCAAGCGCGCCGATTTCCGCAAATTCATTCAGAAGAAGATTGCGGCTCAGAAGACAGAGGCCGCGAACAGGGAGCTTCAGGAGACGGCTGCTTTGAGGGGTGACGCGGTTGCGGAGACACAAGAGCCTTTCAAGCCGGAGTCTATCACGGACGACGAGGTGACCGAGTACCTGCGCCGCCTGCGCAACGATAACCAGGTGCTCTACGACTTGGTCGGCCAGTTCTTGGATCTCGCACCACTCAAGCCTCCTCAGGCTGCTGAAGCGCGCCAACACTCCTTGATGGTCAACCTGCGCGCAACCGACAGCCCGTACGGTGGACGCGGTCCTCCCATCACCCACCCCTCGGCCGGTATCTCATACCTTCGTACTGCGGCCTACCTCAACAACCACCCGATTTACGGTCCGCAGAAGAGCCACCCGCCCGTCCAGGCTAGAGTGCTCAAGCCGCGCAAGGGAGGTCTTGGAAACGATGCCAAGATTGGTGTTGCTGGCTTCGTCGCCGATGGACCACTTGGCACAAGCCACAGCAACCTGAGGGGCAACACTGTTATGGACAAGTTTGATCCCAGCATTGAGGGCGGTGCCAAGCTCTGGGTCAACGTTGACAAGGCGACGGTTGACTCGACTGGCCGCGTACAGCTGACTGTTAGTGATGCCAAGGCGACGGATGTTCTCATCGCCAAAGAATTGATTGGCGATGCCCGTGAGCCCATCTTCGGGTCTGCCCCCAAGCGCCAGGAAAAGATCTTCAAGAAGATCCCTATGACTGCTGCAAGGCTGAGGGGCAGGTACGAGAACTCTGACTCGCCCTCATCACCTACCATGTCGGGCTCGTCTGGGTATGGTTTACGGTAAATCGGCCGATAAGCAGAAGTGGGAACACGAATGCTTCGCGGCGAGCAGTCAATGAGATACCCAAAATCTGGCAAGAAGATTGAAAGGACGTGGTTGGGATCTTTGCAGGCCGTGTAGGTGTGGATAGCTGATGGGCATACTGATCACCGCTCGCAAATCAGACATAAAACAGACAGTCCATTGTAACATTCTAAGCTGTAAATATAGACCGGTTCATGAAGACCTCCCACGATGAGATGCGTTAACATTGTTCGATTCTAAGTCATCGAGAGCTGAGTAGTTGTCTAAGGGTAAGTGAGTGTCACTGCCTTTGCACTGTAAGCATTCGATCGGTTCAGGGGCAACACTGAGTGTAAACAATGGGGGTCACGTGCCGAGCGAACCATGACCACTCAGCCACGACGCTTGTCAGCCACATGAGGCTCAGTACGTGCCCTAACGCCAAACCTGGGCGTGCACTGACCCCACAACCCGCCGGATATTGCCAAACCAAAAAAGTTCGACTTGGTGTTTGTTCACGTCTTCTTGTCCTTGACAACGTAACCCTTCAACTCCCCTCCTTCAGCAGCAAAGCAGCAGCAAAGCCGGCAAAATGGGTCGCGTTCGTACCAAGACTGTCAAGAAGTCCGCCAAGGTCATCATTGAGCGGTACTACCCCAAGTTGACCCTCGACTTCGAGACCAACAAGCGCATCTGCGATGAGATCGCCATCATTGCCTCCAAGCGCCTCCGCAACAAGGTGCGTTTTGTCACGAACCGGGAGAGGGTTTATACATGGACCCGGGAGGAAGGACAGGCAGAAGGATGGATGAACGGGGCGGCCATGCTAATATGTTTGGACAAAAATAGATTGCCGGCTACACCACCCACTTGATGAAGCGTATCCAGCGTGGCCCCGTCCGCGGTATCTCCTTCAAGCTGCAGGAGGAGGAGCGTGAGCGCAAGGACCAGTACGTTCCCGAGGTTTCTGCTCTCGACTTCACCCAGAACTCCGAGAGCGGTCAGCTCGACGTCGACACCGAGACCAAGGACCTCCTGAAGCACCTCGGCGTAAGTTTTCCTCACCATCCCAACCATCACTTTGGTTTTCTGCCCCGCATGAAGCCATGGTAAGGATGCATTTTGTCTAACTTGTCTCTTTTTTCTCTCTCAACAGTTCGACTCCATCCCCGTCAACGTCATCCCCGTCACCCAGGCCCAGCCTGTCGAGCGCGGCCGCCGCTTCGGCGACCGTCCCCGCCGCGACTAAATGTCGCCCGGTCGACGATAACCAAAATAATAATGGAAATCGGGCGTTGGATCATGCACTACGGTGGTGTCGGTCCTACCTGGGTTGGTGTTCGGTGTCTATCTGGAACAGGGTAGCATGAGCATCATTAGGTCACATCTGCGAAACCAAATGCGATCTGTTTGCCCACAAAAGGTGTCGCTGACTCTCTTGGTGTAATGCCGGAGACGATGCTTGATTGCCAATTCTCTTCCCGTCCTCGTATGGGATTGTGGTGCTTTATATGCTCTATGGTGATTGTGTTGAGGGGCAGGGTTGGGACTTGGTGTGGTTCGGCACAAGTGCCAGGAGGGGAGTTTGCTCCCGCCCCGGTTCTTGGGTTACACACCATCCAAGGTACCTCCCAGTTCTGGTGATATGCTAACTTGCAGCTTGTCTATGCCCGGGACTTGAACAGCCATCAAACGCCCGTCTGGGCGTATCACACTACGTAGGCTTTACGTTCTTGGTTTGCGCAACGAACTGTAGTAAACTCAAGGTGGGTATCTATTAAGATTGGTCATCTGTGAATGCTATGTCTGTCCAGGTTCTGCGCAAGTTCATCAATCTAGCGTAGATACTGTCTTGCCTGGACTACATGGATATCTGCATGCGTCCCGACAGATAGTCATTAATATCATCATCGTCCTCATCGGTATCTTCACTTTCGCTCTCGCTGCCATCTTTCTTTGCAGCTTCCTGGCTCTTGATATCAGTGCCAAACCTAGGCTTGTGGCCTTCAACCATATGATGGGCATCCTGCGGACGCTTCTTCCGGGACGTAGAAGACGCCTTTGTGTGATCCGGTGCTTTTGCCGGACCTGTTGTTGGCTTCTCCCGGATCGTAACCTCAACACCTTGACCGGCTAGCAGCCTATCCAGCTTCCCGCTGCCCTGGCCTCTCTCAACCGCCAAAGCGTCAGCATCCCTCTGCATCTGCGCAGCCTTGTCTGAAATCTCAGCCTTCCTATTGAGATCCAGTCTCGCCAGGTCAGCAGCGACTTTATCTTCCGCTTCTGCGACACTTGTTGCCTTGTCCTTGTCCTTGGCCTTCTCTTCCTCTCCAAACGGCTTCTTCTTCTTCTCCTCCTCCTCCCTCAACTCAACCTTGACCACCCTCTTCCCCGTCTCCAAATCCGTCATATAACTCGGATTATCCAACTGCACCTTGACATACAGCGCCCGCACCGCACACGCATCCGAGCACCACTTGTTCAAGTCCTCCGTCTTGGCAATGTTGCCCGTCCGCATAATGATCTTGTACTCTCCCTCATATTGCCTCCTCTTCCGCGGGCAGAGCACGTACCCGCACGCACCCAGACAGTTGCGCTCTTCGATGAGCTCCAGGTATTCCCGCGGCGTGAAGTCGGCTACCAATTTGAGAAACTGACGGGCATCGTCGGGGTGGGGGTTGGCGGCGCTCAGGGGCTGGTGGTTGAGAGGGTGTAAGGCGGGAGGCGTGCGCTGGGTGGGGAAGGAGGAGGAGAGGAGCTCGATGGTTTCGAGGGGGATGGCGGGCTTGAGCTCGGTTTGGGATAGGCGTTGGAGGAGGAGGGCTTGTTCGTGGGCGAGCCGCTGTTCGGTGGGGAGGGAAGATAGGTCGGCGAAGGAGATGGGGAGGGAGCCGGGGGAGATGAAGTCGCGCTGCTGTTGCTGGTTGGAGGGTTCGGTAGGTGAAGGTAGTTGGGAGAAGCCGGTTGTTGGGTGGGTGGTTTTTTTGAGGATGGATTTTGGTGGTTTGGAGACTGGTGGGCTGGTAGAGGACATTTTGGGTTGGTGTTTAGGGTGGTGTTATTTACGGGGTATCGTGGGCAAGGTTTAAACCGGGTTGGGAGGTCGGTGGAGAGTTTTTATGGCTTCGGTCGCAGGCTGTTTGTTTGTTGCTGATGGTCCTGTGAGGCAATGTTCAAGTCGTTTTGTTTGAAAACATCCAAAAGCTTCCATGCGATGATGGAATGGCCGATAAGATAAAATCACACAAAAGGTCATGTCCCGGCAGGCAATACAGTAAAGGTAAGTACCTAAATGAGCCCCACGCGTAATCTTGAGCTGCCTCCACAGAAGAGCTCAGAAAAGGCGGAGCAACCCATGTCTCATCATGCCTAGCATCGGGGAGGGCAGTGCTCTCTTGTTCTCCCATGAAGGATACGGTGGCTTCACGAAGATGATGGACGATGGGGAAGCTCAAGCATTGTGTTTCCCGGCATTGACAAGATGAAAGTGATGTTTGGAACTAAGCACATGGCCTGTGGTTTCATCTCACTCTTTGGGGGGTTCACATGTTACACAGCAAAGAAACGCTAACAACGGGAATACAAAGATTATTGATACAGGTTGCATCATCCATCGCATTCGTCTAAGCCATGATCCCAGCTCTTTCCGTACTAATGTGCATGTGTGCATCTCGAACCTCCTGTTTCTATACTACAATACTTGGTTCATCATGCTCGGCCTCAACATGTGTAATGTGCACATTCATTCCTTTCCCGCAATGTCGGGGGTAATTGAAAGAAGATGTACTGTAGTGTCGAGTTAAAGTGTGCATAAATTGGCCCATACTGTACCTCTACTTGGATAGTCAGTACACTACAAGTGCTGACGTCGAAGAAGCTGGAGCGGCTGTGTTGAGGTAGTGAGATCAGCCTATCTTACCTGGACTGTCCAAGTACGTTGAACACATTGCGGCATTGCATCCTCGGTCACAAGACCGCAAAGCAGAGAAACCTTATAGCATCTCATAAATATCTATTATACGAGAGGGGCTCTTTTGACTTTGGGTGACCATCAAAGAGAAAAAGACAGATGAGAGTAAACATGGCAACGCAGTAACGCTGTTGAAGTGCCGGGAAACCTGGAACACACTTGATGCTGCCCCCCCCCCCCAGTGCGACAGCAGCAGGGACGGCCCAGTCGATCTGCAGTTGTGGCTATACTGTAGTAGCACTGCACTGTCCAACCCAGAGAGGTGTCCGCCTAGCGCCTGATACGTTCAATGCGCTGCCTGCACTTGCATCAGGTCGTCCGGCCCCAGGTGCTCCCCCCGTCATGCTGCCACTTGTGCTGTCACTGCTGGGCTGCTTCCGCTCGAGGTGAGGTGCTTCTTCCCCCCCGCGTCACCTATCCCGTTCAGGGCCTGATTCACTGCAACAAGACCGAAACCATCCCCGATTCTCTCTTCAACTTCCACTTCAAGCTTCTTCATCAAAAGTGGCGGGTCTCCGGCAACCGAATCTCCAACACATGGGCTTCGCTTTGTCGCCGTCCATCCGCGCTTCAACAAGACCACTTTAACATCATCCAACATCTACCATACCGTTTTGCTTCCACCAAGTTAACTAATACTCGTGTTACCTGACGCTGTTTGCAGCTTACATTTCTCTCCTGCTGCTGCCGCTGCTGCCTCCTGCGCAGGGACCGCCCCGCACCCACTCACGCAACTCCCTTCCGATCTTACCTTGACTTCGACACAAACGACACTCCAACCGCTTGGGTTGATTTCCCAACTGCAGAATCATCATGTCGTTGTTCAAAGTTAAGGCCATCTTCGAGTACGCCTCGGGCCACGAGGACGATCTCAACTTCCCCGCCGGTCAGATCATCACCGTGACCGATGAGGAGGACGCCGATTGGTATGGCGGAGAATACGTCGACGAGGCCGGTGTCAAGCAAGAGGGCATCTTCCCTCGCAACTTCGTCGAACGCTACGAACCCCAAGCTCCGCCCCGCCCAACAAGACCAACCCGTGCTGCCAAGCAGGAGCCTGAGCATGTCGCCGCTCCCGAGCAAGCAGTCTCCCCGGAGCCTGCGCCTGCTCCTGAACCCGTGCGCTCGCCATCACCTCCTCCTGTTGCTTCCGCCCCTCCGCCTGTACCTGTACCAGCTGCCGAACCCCCGGTCCCCAAGCCCGCTCCGCCCCCGCAGGCATCCGCCCCTCCGCCGCCAGTTCCGCAGGCAGTTCCGCCGCCTGCCGAAGCCCCGAGAGTGACGTCTCCACCTCCCAAGCCCGCCCCTACACAACAACAACAACAACAGCAGCAGCAGCAGCCATCCAAGCCCAGCGGCCCTCCCCCCGTCGCAGAGAAACCCTCGAGCTTCAAGGATCGCATTGCTGCCTTCAACAAAGCTGCGGCCCCTCCCCCTGCCCCCTTTAAGCCTACCGGTCTGAGCTCTGGCGCCAACTTCATCAAGAAGCCCTTTGTTGCGCCTCCTCCCAGTAGGAACGCTTACATTCCTCCTCCCCAGCAAGCCCCCGTTGCCAAGATCTATCGCCGTGACGAAGATCCGGAGATCAGGGAACAAGAGGCTCAAGCCCAAGAGAATGCTGCCAAAGCAGGTCTCGCCCCTGCCTCTGCCTCTGCCTCGAACGAGGGAGAAGGTGAGGAGGAACAGCCGAAGCCGCTGAGTCTCAAGGAGCGCCTGGCCCTCCTGCAGAAGCAGCAGATGGAGACGGCTGCTCGACATGAGGCCAAGAAGGAAAAGCCCAAGAAGCCCGTCAAGAAAAAGGTTGAGACCCACGAAGCCGCCGAGGAGGGCGAACCCGCCGCGGTACCCCTCGAAAGACAGGACACCGAAGAAACTGTAAGAAAGTCGGTGGATGAGGCCCTCCACCCACGCGCGCCAGCGCCCAGGCGCAAGTCAAACTTTGGTGTCGAGCCCAATGATGGCAACGAGGCCGACTTGTCTGGCGCCGGTGAGACAACGGAGGGACAAGAAGATCTGACTGAAAAGGAGGAGGTTGAAGAGCACAAGCATGTTGCTACTGCCGCTAAGCAGGAAGATGCCAAGCTTGCGCAGGAAGAGGACGAAGAAGACGAGGAGGAGGAAGAAGAAGAAGAGGAAGAAGAAGAGGTTGACCCGGAGATCCGGCGTAGGGAGGAATTGCGTGCTAGAATGGCCAAGATGTCTGGCGGCATGGGTTTGCCCGGAATGCCTGGCATCTCCCTCTTCGGCGGCCCGCCTCCTATGCTGCCCAAGAAGAAGAAGCCTGTTCCTGAGAAGGTGGAGGAATCTGAAGAACAGCCCACTTCCCCGGTCCAGCGTGCGCCTCCTATCCCGACCATGATGGCTCTCCCTGGTATGTCCCGGGCACCGGAACCTGTGCGTTCCCCTGAAGTCGAGGAGCCCCGTTCGCCCTTGCATGCGCCGCCGCCGCCCACTCGTCCTCCTCAGCAGGCCGAACCGGAACAGCCGGTGTCTGAAGAGGAGGAAGAGGAAGAAGAGGAAAGTGAGGCGCCAACACCGTATCAGGCACCTCCTCCGTCTTGTAAGTCTCAGAGACACTTGGCAGCCTTGCCCGCCACGATACTAACTCGAATGATAGTGCCTTCGAGGGACCCCGGGGTACCGCCTCCTGTTCCTGGTGGAAGACCAGCTCCTCCCCCCGTTCCTACCGAAGGTAAAGTTCTCCGGTGGTGATGACTGTAAATGACTTACTAACTTGAGTTCAGCCCGTCCGCCTCCCCCGCCCCCGACTGCATCGGCCACAAACTCGCCCAGTGAAGGCTCTGCATCGGATGACGAGCTCTCGGAAAGGCCCCAGGAGGAGTCTGATACTCCGCGCGTTGCTGAGACATCGCATACAGCTCGGGCTCCGCCGCCGCCCCTTCCGGCTCTTGCTCCGCCGACACCGCAGATGCCTCCTCCCCCGGTGTCACCCCCAACCTCGCCTGGTGCTTCGCACGGCAGACGCCAGTCGTATTACGAGGCATCACCTCGGTCCCCTCCGCTGCCCCCTGCTTCACCGTCAGCCAAGCGTGAAAGTCGCTTGCCTCCTCCGATTCCCGGTATGGTCCCGGTGAGCCGGGCTCCTCCCCCGCCTCCCCCGGCAGCGCCACCAAGAACACCGACTACGGATACTTTCCATCAACGCCAGCATTTGTCTCCTGGAAGGGGGCATGACAATGAAGAAGTGGAAGAAGAGATTACCGAGTACGAAGGGGATTACGATACGGACATTGCTTCCTCTGTTCCTCATAAGGATGCGCTGAAGTCTCATCAACGTGATACGAGTTTTGACGGGCCCGCGTCGCCACGCTCGCCCATGTCCCGCCCACCTCCTCTTCCCCCGACATCACCACCGAGAGCCGGTCCCCCTCCTGTTCCACTCATGTCTCCACTAGAAAGCCGCAAGTCTGTCGACGTGCCACGCGCGGCCCCTCCGCCTCCTCCGACGCAAGAGATGCCTCGATACGGGGAAGGAGACTTCGACCCTTACAACTACTCTTCGCCGACTCACGGATCATCGTCGATACCGTCCTTCCCTTTGCCTAATTCGCCCCCGTCTGAACCATACTCTCCTGAAACCCCTTTCCACGGGACCCCTCAAAATCTAAGGGCTCCTCCCCCGGCGCCGCCCGGTAGTGGCCGCCCGTCGACCCGGCAGTCGATGGATACCCCGCGTTCAAATTTGCGGCGATCTGTAGATATGACGCGGCCATCAATGGAATCAGGCTTCGTTGCTAACGACATCGACCTGGCCAGCCAGTCGACTTGGTGGCTACAGCCCAAGAGCCTCCCCCCACCTCTTCACGGACGCAAGGACATCCTCTTTGAGTCTGAGGAGTCTACCGCGTCTGACCCCCACTCTGGTAAGACTATTGTCACCCGGGACATCTACGTCTTGTTCCAGGACTACTCCCAGACCGTGATCACCGTTCGCTTCAACTCTCAAGACCCGTCCGACGTCGAACTTGAGCAGCGCCACGAACCCCCTCCCCGCACCCTGCGTCAAGACCAGCTTGAGCAGAGCTACGAGCGCTTTGGACGGGCTATCAGCGAGGCCGTGTCCGGTAAGAAGGAAACCGTCGTCGGTGACGGTACTCCCCAAGCACTGATCTACGAGCTCCTCCGTCCCTTCAAGGACGCCCTCCTGCCCGTCGGCACGCGCGCCTATGGCGCCCTGGTGTACTCCAACCTGGCCAACGCGAGCACTACTCAGAACGACGAGATCCGCCCCGGCGACATCATCTCCGTCAGAAACGCCAAGTTCCAGGGCAAGCACGGCGCCATGCATGCCAAGTATACCATGGAGGTTGGTAAGCCGGATCACGTCGGTATCGTGGCCGAGTGGGATGGCACCAAGAAGAAGGTCAGAGTGTGGGAGCAGGGCAGGGAGAGCAAGAAGGTCAAGGTCGAGAGCTTCAAGCTTGATGATCTGAGGAGTGGTGAGGTCAAGATTTGGAGAGTCATGCCCAGGAGCTGGGTCGGCTGGGAGGGAGGGAACTAGGATTAGGATTCCTCATCGACCGGTGATGGGCCATTGACGACGCTGAACTCTAACGAGAGTCTGTCTATGACTGAGGCAAGGAGAGTCGAGCGGTTCAGTGGAATTGGTAGTGTATTTGGTGTCTTGGCGAGAGTTGTAGGCTCTGACCAGTGGTAATTGCAAGGTGGGAAGGCCGCGGGCATTGAGAAAAGATTAGGTTCTTTGAAGTTCAAGCTGCTGCTGCATGCAGCTGTTCTTCTTTGCCCTAACGTTTTCTCTCTCCTTCTTTTGCGTGTAAGTATTTTGCGTGTTTGTTTGGTTGTCATAAGAGGGATCAGTGATGGAAGAAGGAAGTGGGTGGAAGTGAAGGGAGCTTCTGAGAGAGGTGAGGTGATGATGCTGCTTGGGTGGTGGGAGAAATTTGTCTTTATTACAAGTCATCACACACTACTGAACTCCAAGTCATAATAAGTTTTCCCCCATACATATAAAACAAATCACAACAAACAAAACAAATCACAACAAACAAAACAAATCACAGACACATTGATTGGCAGCAACAGCAACAGCAATATAACTTTGAATTTGCGTATTTAGCATCTCTAGCATAGTCTCTGTTTTATACTCTCGTTGAAATATTTTCTACTTTGACTAGCATCATCTCGTGATACTAAACTTATCTATCCGATGTTACACGGTCGGTTCTGGTGACAGTCGGCAAATCGAGAATAGAAAGACGAACATATCTTAAGAAACCTCGAGGAAACTAAGACAAAACAACGGAAGACGAGAGATCTGAATTTTGAATACTACCTAGAATCAAACAGATATCAAGGTAAAGTCGATTATAGAAAAAAAAAGTGAAAAGCGAGAAGATATGAATCCAAAAAAAAAAAAAAAATTAAAAAAAAAAGAATTATATAAAAATTAAAATAAATTTTAAAAAAAAAAAAAAATTTTTTTTAAAAAAAGGGAAGGAAGAGAAGAATATAATAAAAAGAAGGTACGACTGTTATGGGGCATTCTTGGTGGATACCTAGATGCTCTGTTTTATTATAGCAGCTGCTCACTAGAGCGTATGGCTTGTTATATAAAAGTGTTCGTTCTGTTAACCTCTATTAAAGTAGACGGATTATTAATTAATAGTATATTAACCTAACGTCTATTTTGCTTATACTTAGTGAAGTCGTGTGCGAGGTCCCAAGTTGAGGTTCGCGATAGTTCTTATTTTTAACTTCCTTTAACAAAACTATTATTAATTGTTATATATTATTACTCTATCCAATAATTAATTGCTTACTCTATTATTCACTATTATTATTACTTGTGAAATATATTTTCGTATAATAAGTAGTACCTACAATTCAATTTCAAACCGACTTTGTTATTTTTATTATCTTTTCCTTTCGTTGAAGGGGGAGATATATTAAGTCTAATAATAATTTATTAAATTTATTAACTATTATTCAACTTTTATCTTTACCGACTAAATATTTATATATTTACTCTTCAGAATCCCCTTTTTTTACTATTTAATTACTATTTAATTAAGTCCCGAAGCTAAATTGAATAATATTTAAAATTAATTAAGTAAACCACCGGATAGCTTTCGACT